CAAACTGAGAGGCTGGAAAATCCAAGGCATCAGTCACCCTCCTTTAAGTCATCTTTCTGCCCTTTATCAGCTGAAGCCAGGACCCCTGGAGGAGACTTACATAGCTACTATCCTGAGAGAAATCCTAAAGGGTTTGGATTATCTGCACTCTGAGAGGAAGATCCACAGGGACATCAAAGGTAAGAGTGGAGAGCTCAGCTCTCTTTCTTATAAGGGATGTTAGTAACATCAGATTCAGAAGTATTATACAGCAATCATCTGAGAGGTTTCAAAGACTGTTTCTTAATGCTGTTTTTTCCTGTTGGGTTGCTTGTTTCTGAATCTGGTGCTTGTAATTTTATTGCAACTCATGTTTTTCATGTCTTTAGAGTTTAGAGTAACAGTAAGGGTCTGTAGCTGTTTGGCATTTGTAGTTTGGACAGGCAGGGGGCTAAAGCAAAGGAGTCAATGAAAGGCACACTCAGATATTAGCTGGCTCTCAGTTCTGTCTGGACATTTGCTTTACTGCTGGACCCTGAAGTGCGTGTGTGCTGGTTGCTGTGTTTATAACTTATTGTCAAGGTGAGCTGTCCTCATGCAGGGATCACAGCCCTAGAAAATCAGGGCAGCTTGTGTCAGCTTATCCTGTTCCTGATTATTATAGTCATTGGCTGTATGTGGTGGCATCTGCCTCCCAAAGAGCAGTCTCACACTGAACACAGAGCATCCAAGGACAGCAGGAGGGTGGGAGGACAGTGCTGTGGAGACACAGCCAGTGTTGGATGCTGACTGCTCTGACCCTCTGCAGCAGGGGATGTGAACAAGGAGAGCAGAAAAACCTCGTGCAGGGAGATGTGTAGGAAAGATTCCGTTGTGTACGTGAGCCTACACGTTTCTGGCACTCTGCAAGCCATGCAGGACTGTTGGCTGCCAGCAAAGTGGGGAGATGCTGAAAGTTTATAGGTAGGGTTTCTCTCAGAATGAAAAGTCCTACCAAAAAAACCCCATCCCAAAACCTGAGCAATGTCACTGTCTTAAGCTGAGTGAGTGGGAAGCAGTGCAAGACCAGGACTTGTGAGGTCTTCAGAAGGATCTGCTCTTTAACCTGTGCTGAATGCTGCTCTGAAGAGAATTGAGACCACTTGAGGTATCTTGGGCCATGTTGCCTTCTCTTCTTTGTGTGGCCAGGAATCACATCCAGCTCATTCTGTGGTCCTTCACATCTACTCCTTGCTACTACCCTAGAAATATTCCCCTTCTGATCCGGCCAAGTGGATGAACTTGTTCCGTGTTACCCGCAGAGGTCAGAGCATGAGAATGAGCCTGAGGCTGGAAATCTGAGCTGAGAGTTTTCACTGGGGCAAAGGAGGATTCCACAGCAGGTCCATTCCCAGTATTCAGTTCTGTGTGGGCTGGAGATGATTCGGAAACCAGGGAACTTAACACTTATTTGTGTGAACAGCTGCCAACGTGCTACTTTCGGAACAAGGAGATGTGAAACTGGCTGACTTTGGGGTGGCTGGACAGTTGACAGACACACAAATCAAGAGAAACACCTTTGTGGGGACTCCATTCTGGATGGCACCAGAGGTCATCAAACAGTCTGCTTATGACTTCAAGGTGAGCTGGAGGAGGATTGCTGCTTGGTGCTACTCTATATGAGATGGTGCTAGGGCTCATACAGGGATTGGAAGTGCTGCTTATTGCAAGAGCGATACTTTCCTGTTATGATCTGTTAGAGAAGTTTGTCTGTTAGACGTGAAACACCCTGATTTTATGTGACTAGCCCTTCGGCTTCCACATTGCAGAATTGCTCCTGCAGTTCTGTGGTGTCACTGTTCTTGCTTTTCTTTCAGGCAGACATCTGGTCCCTTGGAATTACAGCCATTGAACTAGCAAAGGGAGAGCCTCCAAATTCTGACTTGCACCCTATGAGGGTTCTCTTCCTGATCCCCAAAAATAACCCTCCAACACTTGAGGGTCAGCACAGCAAGCCCTTCAAGGAGTTTGTGGAAGCCTGCCTCAATAAGGATCCTAGATTTGTGAGTATTGCTGTCCACCTCTGAATTTGGGTAAAGCATTGCAGAGGTCAAAGATTTATTTATCAGGAAGGCATTTTGGTGCAAGGCTCCTGGAGTGAATCATAGAATGTTGTGAGTTGGAAGGGACCCACAATGATCATCAAGTCCAACTCCTGTCCCTGCACAGGACAATCCCAAGATTCACACCATGTGTCTGAGGGCCTTGGCCAAATGCTTCTGGAATCTTGTCAGGCTTGGTGCCATGAGCACCTCCCTGGGGAGCCTGTCCCAGTGCTCCACCACCCTCTGCCTCAAGAACCTTTTCCTCATGGCCAACCTCAGCCTCCCCTGGCACATCTTCCTGCCATTTCCTCTGCTCCTGGCATTCGTTGGTGGCCAGAGAGATCAGCACCTGCCCCTCCTCTTCCCCTTGGGAGGAGGTTCTAGAACACGATGAGATCTCCTCTCAGTCTCCTCTTCTCCAGGCTGAACAAACCAAGCGACTTCAGCCTCTCCTCATATGGCTTCCCCTCTAAACCCTTCCCCAATTTAGTGTCCCTCCTCTGGACACTCTCCAGCAGCTTTAGATCCTTTTTATCCTGTGGCACCCAAAACTGCCCCCAGTACTGGAGGTGAGCCTGCACCAGTGCAGAGCAGAGCAGAGTGGGATGATCACCTCTCTCGCCGGGCTTGCAATGCAGAGAGAATACAGAGAAGGAAGGACTGAGCTTGTAGAATGGACGAGCAAGCCTGGCAGGAATTGAAGTGGGTGCCTGTGCGTTTTTAGTGCACAGAGATGGTTAGATGTTGTATGCTTTCCTTATTTGCTCCAGAGACCGACAGCTAAAGAGTTGCTAAAGCACAAGTTCATCACACGCTACACCAAGAAAACCTCATTCCTAATGGAGCTGATAGATCGATTCAAGCGCTGGAAGTCAGAGGGCCATGGAGAAGATTCCAGTTCTGGCGATTCTGACATGTAGGTACACATTCTGCATGGAAGGATGCCCCAGGGCAGCCTACTGCAAACAGCTCAGATCCTTTTCCCCACCTGGGTTGGAGATCTTACAGTAGCTGAGGGAAACCTGTGAGCATCTGTTTGTGGGAGCAGTTGACTGCTGCCTGAAGAACCAGGCTGTTACCTTAACCTGTGGAGCCTCTTTGCTGAGTGCAAGGAGTCAGAGGAACTAACAAGAAACATCTAGCAGATGCATAATGAGTAAAACAAGGCTCTGGTTGCCTGTATTTTATGCACCTTCAGTTAAACACATTGCCTTTCAAAGAGCTACAGGCTTTAGTACGTGTGGCAACAGCTGGGTGTGTGTGTTTGTCTATTCATGGGTGCAGAGCTTTGCTGCTGATGTGAAGGGTAATGAAGCTGAGAGTTTTGGGTGAGGAGAGGGCACTTCTGCCAGGCTGGTGTCACAGAGCTTCTCTTCACCTGTAGTGGCAGTGACTCAAGTGATCAGTGACTCTAGGAGGTTGGCTTGCAACATCTAAGCCTGCTCCCTCAAATTGTGAGCCTGGATTGTTTTGAAATTCTCCTAATTAGCACTTGAAACTGTCTTCAAGCTGGCTAGAGCAGAAAGGTGGTTGTGATTTGGTGACATGATGTAGTACTTAGCTCAGATCTCTGTGGTGCTGTATATGGGCTGTAGAGACTGAAGCAGTTTCTCTTTTGGATTTTTTCTGGGATAGGGAAATGCCTGGAGCCCTGTGGTGATATGACAGTCAGATGGGGGAGAGCTTGTGACTATGGGAATGTGTGAGTAAAACACTTGGCGTACAGAGCTGAGGCTTTGTCTTGACTTCCCCCTTTTCATTTGCAGTGATGGAGACACGGAGGATGGAGACCAGGGTCCAATCTGGACATTCCCACCAACTATTCGCCCCAACTCCTTGAGCAAGCTGCACAAAGGAATAGGTCTTCACGGTTCCCAGAAGGTCTGTTTGCCATCAGTTTGTTTGGAAGTGGACTGAACTAATACAAGCTTTTGAGAGTCTTGGGGAAGCTACCAGTCCGTCGTGCTCTGTCTAAAATTTACTTTAGTCTGGTACCAAGGGCTGGTGTCACAGAGTTGTCTCTTCCACATCGTCAGGGTACTGCAATCTTTGGCTTTCCTGAGACCTGGTGAAGGGGCTGCCATCAAGTTGCTGTGAATTTACCAAAGGCTTAGTAGTTTGTGTGCCCTGGGAGCCTTTGCCTGTGCTTGTAACTTCTTTTCCTGTTGCTTTCTAGCCTACTGAGCCCATCAAGAGGCAACCACGGTCACAATGTCTCTCCACGCTTGTTCACCCAGTTTTTGGGGAGGTGAGTAGAACCTTCTTGGTGTCTGTGATGATTGGAGATTAAGAGATACCTGACATGGATAAAGAAATGGGAAGGATTTGGGGAAGAGAGGTGGGTTGAGGTACTTAGTGGGGTTAAGGGACTATGAGGCATTTGTGCCTCTGTTCACTAGAACAGAACCTGGTACACTAGCTCAGGTTGCTCAAAGCTTCATCCAACCTGGC